TATTTTGTTCATTATAAAATCAATATATGTTCATTCTCATATGTCGTAGGTTCATATATGAATAATTTACTATTAAAGAGTATAGAATGATGTTTAAGTTAATAATTGCAAAATGTTCATAATCATAAAAGTGTATGTTTATTTCTGTATTACGTTAATAAAAAAATTATTTATTCATTTATTTTAATATTTAAAAATATGAAATTAGATGTTCATTTGTATAACGGATGTTCAAGTACATTTGTATTTCTCATAAATTAAATGTTCATTTTCATGTAATATGATGTTCATTCTTATGAAACAAATGTTCATTTTTTTAATTAATACTGTTTTTTGTGGTTGCTCAGTTTTATAAAATGTTCATTTTTATTGTAAAGTATTTTCAATTAACATTAGCATTATAGTGTCATACATTAGCATTTTGTTCATCATTAAAAAAATATTTTATTGATTTATTTAATTGGTATTAATCATACATTTCAGCGAATTGCAAGACATTCATTCAAGAAAATTGAACAAATTAAGGCATTTTCCTTTTAATATGTGTTCTTTTCACTTTAAAAAGCACATAGTTACATGAGCTATATTTTATAAAGTTAAAAAAAGTTGAATGTTCATATTCATTAGGGTTATTAATGCTCTCGATTTTAACGATACATGTTCATGATTCTAACATTATTTTTTAAAAAAATATACTTATTACTCAGACTTATTTAATGTAATGCGATAAAAAGTTAAAAATGTTATTTTATTCATATTTGTGTAAGTGAATGTTCAATAGTTAATATAATATTTATATGCATTAAATTTAATGTCTATTCAATAAAAAGTGTAAATGTTATCTTGTTCACTTTCGTGTAAATAATTGTTCATTTAATATTTATTGCATTATATTTAATTTTAAAAAATACAACACCAAAATATGTTCAATTATAAAATGTTCAATTTTGATATTCTAAATATTCATTTTTCGAATAGAGAGACCAGCCAAAGTGTTAGCTGGTCGGAAACTAGCCAAAAATTTGTGGTATAAGTCAAATGAAGTGTAGACACACAAAAAGCCTTTTGACAAATTTTGGGCCCAAAAAAACATACGGATACCCAACACCACGATCCAAAATTCCAAATATCCAACACAATTTATTTTATTTTGTTAAAATGTTTTTAAAAAGAAAAACAGAACAAGAAGAAGACGAAGACGATAGATTTGGTTTCTTAAAAAAATAAATAAACGACGATAGATTTGGTTAATTTCATAGGCTGAAGCCAAATGGCAAGTCAACCCACTGAAACCCCACAATCAATCTACAATTTCACTATCAAGGTATTCGCTTTCTTCATCTTCCTTCATTTTCTTATATAACCCTTTTTCATCAATTGTTTAAATTTTTAGTTAAAATTGCTTAATCTCTTATAATTTGTAGGATGCCAAAGGAAATGATGTCAAATTAGTGAGTATAAGGGCAAAGTTTTGCTGATTGTTAATGTTGCTTCTAAATGGTACTTCAATATTTGCTATTCAATTTTTTTGCTAATTAGTGGATTAGTAAATGTTTAATTAATTACTAATTAGTAACTGTTTTTTGGTTAAAATTTTGTCAAGTGGAATGACCAACTCAAATTACACTGAGCTAAATAAATTATATGACAAGTACAAAGATCAAGGTCATTATCTATATATTTAAATTCAATTTTTAGCTATAATTATCTTATTGCTTTTGTTAATTTTGTGGCTAAATTAGTTTAATGGTAATGTGTGAATATTGGAAATCTTGTATTTTTAGGCCTTGAGATATTGGCCTTCCCTTGTAATCAGTTCGGCGATGAGGAGCCGGGAAGCAATGATGAGATCATCGAATTCGTTTGCACTCGATTTAAGTCGGATTTTCCTATCTTTGACAAGGTAGACATAGGACAAGATAGTTTCTTCCCTAGATAATTACATTAGTATATTTGTCTCTTTGTTTATTCTTTTAGTCTGAATTGTTTGTTTGGACTGGCCTTCTACATAGCATCCAAGTTGTGGAGATAGTCTTGCATATTACTTGCTCTTGAAGTAGTTTTCGCGGGGTGAAAGAGAATGTTTTCATTTTCCTGGTAACCTATATTGGCAGCAAATTTAAGGTTTTGGTTTTGTTGTTGTTGTTATGTCAAGAAATGTCATTTTCCATTTTTTTGTGTGTTCATATTTCTAAGAGTGCCAAGAAACAGTAATTTGAACTTGAATTTGTAATGCTAGCCTATATATATGTTAGACTGTTAGTACTTATGTTTTAATCATAGCATTACAAGCTTGTAGGAGGTTTGGGCTCAGATTTTAGCTATTGTTATTAGTAGCTAAATGTTTACAGTGTATGCTTTGGTCATAGCTCACTAGTTTTTAGTAACTAAATGTTTACAATGTATGCTTTGGTCATAGCTCACCAGTTTATAGGAGGATTGAGTTCAGAATAAACTGATAATATTTAGTAACTACTTCATGTTATCAGTGTTGCATCTCCATTATGTGGAATTGCTCCTGCTACGATGATTTTATTGCCCCAATATCATGGAAACATGTCCTCATCAGACTAGGATTCTTGGCTCTTTCATCGAGATACCAATATAGATTTAGCACAAACTCATCTGCACCCTGCATGTTCTGATATCATCAGTATCCTGTCGTAGGAGGTTCAAGAAAGTTTGTGGTATTGGGATGAACTCCAAATGCTGTCCGCTAGTTTTTCAAGTTCGATACTTCTGTAGCTCTGTTAGGAATTATCTGGTTGCAAGTGGTAGATGGGAAAAGAGAAGAGCATGTGAGAATAAGGAGGGGAAACGAGAGAAATGTTTTCAAAGTTCTCATTAGTCACTCCTACATATAAAAATAATGTGTGCTACAAGAAACTTTACAATGTTCTTCTCCACATCCAAATTGGAGAGTCTGTTCACATTGTTTGACCTCTTCAAATATTTTCTATGATTTCATTGAGAATTCTGTGGTAGAGGCCAGTAAAGATCTTCAAACTCTTACAAGTTTTGGTGTTAACATCTTGAATGTTTATCTGTCTTGCATGTTACAATTGTAGATCGAAGTCAATGGAGAAAACGCTCCCCCCTTGTACCAGTACTTGAAGTTGGGTAAATGGGGAATCTTCGGAGATGATATCCAATGGAATTTTGCCAAGTTCCTTGTTGACAAGGATGGCCAGGTCGTTGGCAGATATTATCCCACAACTTCACCTTTCAGCCTAGAGGTAAGAGGAGGTTCACTGACTGATAATTTAGTGAGTAAAACTTCCTCTGGATTCAAGTCATCCTGGACTAGTGAACTCTATACTATTCTGATGACCCTTTTGTTGCAGTATGATATAAAAAGGCTGTTGGAGATTGCCTAAATTGCTGCCTTGCTTATCAAATACTACGTATGTGCATTGCACATTCTTCCAACTAAGGTACAGCTATAAAAGCCTATAACTTCGGTTTGCATGAAAAAAATTTCTACGCAGACTTGATAGAAATATAGTCATTCAACATACGTATGAATCTTTGGTTTTTACAATATTTGGAATCTTTTTTATCTGTTTGTTTGGAGTATGAAAATATCATGTCCATTTTGACTCTCTAGAATTGAAACACGGGAAATTTTTTTAGTGCAACAAAGAGTCTAACAATTGCATAATTTGCATTCCATGAAACAGGATATTATTTCATGTAGTTGAGACATTATATGTTTGTACAAGCCACAACAAGGCATGGCAATGTGGTTGAGGAAGCTGATTCAGTCTTATATGAGAAGATGTTATATCGCGTGTACCAGTCTTTACTCTCATCTCTAAATCTGTATTTGGACTTGTAATTTTCTGTTGAAAGCAGTAGACTTTATTAAACAATGAAAGTAACTGTTTTCAGTTATTTTCTCTTGTAATTTGTTGCTAAAGAAATTGTTGCAAAAATTTGGATTTATCTCTATTATTAGCCTGAAGATGACATGAAATTCAGAATATGCTGAATTGCTGATCCCTAAACCTTATGAGGTTCACAGCATTTTCAACATACATTCATAGTGTTAAAGAGGTTTGAGTGGCTAATACTTTAAGCATTTAACACTAATTAAAAAATAAATATATAAAAGGCTCTTAAACAAAAGTAAAGTGGAGGAAGTAAAATAAAACTTTAGAGATGTGAGTATTAAAGATGTATTCTCATCGCCTTATCTAAGCAAATTATTATTGAATAATATTAGTATCCTACTACATAGATCAAACTATATCGTGTTTTCTTATTTTTGTTTTTATTGCCAAATTTTGATAACATATACAGACTAATAATATATTAAGATTAGATAATTAGAAATACACACTAAATCGAATCAATGATTGCATAGTTTTTAGTAATCAAGTTCCATTTTAAGGCCTTCAAAGCTCCAATTAAACCAAGATTGTACAAATTGAGAATAGACTTGATTTTTATAGACATGGCCTACAATAGATAGACTAAAAGCTTGTCAATAAGGCGAAGTGTATAAATTTCTTATTTTTCAAATACAGAATAAAATTTGTTAGGAGGAAACTCTTATCAAATTTGTTTATCAAATGGTAAAATGTAAATAAATCAACAAATTTGCTTAGTTAACAATGTCATTTTCGTAATCATATCAAGATTATCAACATCTGTGGAGCCCATTTAGTGATGAAAAGTGTATTTTCTCATTTGATAATAAAGATATTTGAGCTATGCAATTGTGCAATACTGTCAAGAAAAAGGTTTTCCTTCGCTCTTCTTTTTTACTGTTTCTCTTTCATCTCTTTTCTTCTAATCTCAATTGTAATTTTTTTGTAGGGGCTTTCACCGATGTTTTTACCGGCGGTAAGCCCCAAAAAACTTTTTAATTGCTTTTGATAAATGAATCCCATTTTTATGATGGTGTTTATTCAATTAGGCTTTTTTTTTTGTTTGTTCGTGTGCTAAAGATTGAAAATTTAGGGTTTCATCGTCTCCGAAAATATGTAGAAGGCCATATGAGTTTTTTTCACCCAAACAACTACTCATCTGTGGATCTCAACCCGAATTAGTGTTAACTCACAGATTGTATTGGTTCGGATGAAGTTTTTTATTAACGCGATCGTTGATCTAATCTGCAATGTAACTAGTTCTAAGGTAAGTTGTACATGTGTTGGAATTTTAGATTTCCTAGAAATTGTTTGTAAGTCCCGTTTAGCTATATTTCATTAATGAAATCCTTTTTCTTCTAAAAAATAAATAAATAAATAATAAAATAAAAAAGGGTAAAACCTACCACATACTTGAACTTGAAATGACTAACAAATACGTAGTATAAAATTTGATTTTGGAGGTTAACTATCTATATTTGCCAACCCTTGGACATACTACAAGTAGTCAAGTACTCTGTACTCAGTAGTTCAAATTAGAACTGATAACTTCTCATATTATTACTAATTTCATGTTCAAACTTTTCCAGAAATTGTCCTCAATCAACCCGACCAGCTAGGTAAATGAATCGAATCATTGTCTTATATTCTTTCATTGATTAACTAACTCTTTCGAATTTGTTTTAGTTTTAACAGTATGCTCAAATAAAGCTGTGCATACCAAGTGTTCGACAAAATGCCCCAGTGAACTTTTTTTTGTCATTGGTACTGATTCACATTACTTGTTTAATGGGGTTGCAGTGATAATGAGGTATATGAAGCCACTGACCTTGTTTCAAGAATTAGCAAAGACAAAGAATGCACTCGAACGAGGTCGGTTTTTGGGATTGGACGTTGGTGATAAGTATGTTGGACTTGCTGTTTCAGACCCAGATAACAAAATTGCTAAACCTTTAAGGTTGATTTTTGCACTCTTTGTATTGCCAAAGTAAAATGCTAATTTGAATACTTTCTGCTGTGCTGTCTTGAATGTAATTTATTAGTCAATTTCTTATTTATGCTGTATTTTTGTCCTGAAATTTCACTTGAATTTGTTCATGCAGTGTTTTACTCAGAAAGAAATTTAATATTGATATGATGGCGGCTGATTTCACAAGTTTGGTAATGGATGCCCTGCCTTGATAATGTGTTTGATTATGTTACAAGATGTACTTACAATGGGGTCAATTTATTTGTTGTTCTAACCGGTCTTTTCTTCTTGCTTGTAGATTTCAGAGTTTTCCCTATCAGGCTTTGTTGTTGGCTGCCCTTTTGATAGACAGCGGCCAAGTCCAGATGTATGTTCTTCCGCAGATGGTTGTGGTGTATGTGACTAGTTAACACTTGTTGTTTGATGCTTTTCCATTTTGTTGATCAGGGTGCACAAGTGAAAATTTTCGTAGATGATCTGTGCAAAACTAGGAAACTAGAAGGTGTGAAATATACATATTGGAATGAGTGCTATACATCAAAGGTAACAAATAGCCTATTTAGATGCTTTCTCAGTAGAAGTCTTAACTCGAACATGTAATTACTCTTTTATTGAAGGGTGATCGAAGTCAAAATGCCAATATATGGGTGGATAACTTTCCTGATCAGATTGATGATTTTCTTTTGGTTTTCAGAACGTCGACTTACTATTGCAGCCATTAACATTACATCCAGTGGAACTGAAAACTATGCTTGACAAATTTGCCGCTGTGGGAATTTTGCAGGTAAGGGTTGTAGTGTTGCTTTTAACATCAATAATACACTCATGTGCAACTCAACTAGCCAAATACTTGAGGCTGCTGCTGATATTAATCTTTGAAGTCGAGTCAATTGCCATTAGAAAATTTTACACTGTTTTATAATGAATCACAAAACTGTGTGCTAAGTTCTATCCCGTCACCGCTATTCATTTTTTTTAGTTGTGTAACCTATGTATTGAAATATTCATCAAATGATCAGTATACCCTTCAATTCTTGCAAAAAAATGTCTGATCAACCATATTCTTGTGACAGGGGTACCTGGACTATGTCAACCGGTGTGGACTGAATCCTGATGTAGAAGATCATTCTACCGCTGTATGCTGATATGCTCTCAAACTGCTCTACGTTTGCATTAGGATGTTTCATGTTAAGCTCTTGGACTTCTCACTGCATGTGTTTAAATTCTATGAGCATCTTTACTCCAATGATCTTAAGCCTAACATTGCTATGCTGCATATGGCCATTTTCTGTACAGCAATACAATTGTAATGTTAAGTGCTTTCTTTTAACTTGTCAATGATACATCTGCCTCAGGCCTCGATGGTTAAAATCTTACATATGACATCTGAAAGATGTAGAGGTACATTATGGACTTTTTTTTTTTACCTGAAGTTACTAGTCTTCTGCCCTATCTTCCCTTATAAAAGTATATGTAGTGTTCGGGGGCAATATGGCTATTATATACCCGGGATGAGCACAAAAATAATTATGTACAAAACTCATATAATCCAAAATTTACAAATTTTAATAAAGATATTTCATCTCAAAATTTTACTGGTACGGGTAGTTGTACCTCTCTTTGAGATGTCTTTGCAAAAACTTTCTGGAAATGTTTTGATTGGAGGAGATCGAGACACTTAGCCTGAATAGTAAAATAAATTACCTATATATAACAAGAACCAATGAAATTCTCCAGTCATCAACATTAAGCTTCGTCAATATGCTTATAGAGATAGAGGTAGATGGTGAATAATTCTTAGCTTTTAGATATCATTCTAGCTGTGTACTCATAAATTGTAGTTACTCCCTCCTTGTTTTAATAAGTGTTACACTTTTACCGGTTCATAGTTTTAGGTTAATATTTTATTAATAGTAATGAAGTTTCAAGCCAACACTACACCATCAACAACACTTTAGATGATAAGCGCATTGAGTCTTATTATGATGATTCATCATATTCAAGAGAATTTGCTCCATTAATGTGGCTTGAGGTACCAACCCTATAATTTTATGCAACTATTGCTGTTAATTTGCACCAATTTTAGGTTCATGGTTATGATGTTTTTATGACTTTGCTCCTTGAGTAAATTTTGTTCTATCTATAATATAAGTGTTTTTTATAAGATTTAACAATTAATTTGATTATAAATTTTTAATTTATCAGTGTTTAGAATTTTTTTTGTGCATTTGATATATATTCTAACAATGGTATTAAATTGGTATATGTATTGTAAAGTTCAACTCTATGTAGTTATGTGCGTATCAAGAAGCATAGAACTGCAAAAAAAAAACCCCTGCTCGAACCTCCTTAAAGCAGATCAAATGTCGAATTGCTGCATTTGTCTTACTCTGCCGAATCCTTCTGCCCTCCCTCGAATCCCACTACGAAAAATCTTAATACATTTCTCCACATTCAACGTCAATATCTTTGTTGATGCTTCCTTCTCTTCATCTAGCCTTCTTGTTGACATTTGAAACTTCACCTGTTTGACGGCTGATCTCCATTGAGAATTTGAGTGCAAACCATACCAAATACTGTATTTCAAAGTCTTCCAAGAATTCAATTTGTTCAGCAATCTTGGTAGCAGCCATATTTGATGATGCTATTCTAGAATGCTCAATATTAATTCTTAATAATTATAATAAATAATGGACGCCAACTAGCTTTTGTTGGTTGATATTTTATTTTATTTTTAAATCGATATTCGAGATTGATTTTCATAGTTTCGAACTCCCTTTGGCCTCTATGGGATCACGATGACAAAGATATTACTTGCCTTTACAATTTAGAAGATGGGAAGAGTGAGAAGTTTAATTTTACATTGCTAGTTCATCAAAGCTAGCTGGACTCACTCCAATTCTGTGGGTTGATATTATAAAAGTGTACATGTTGACTAGTCCGAATAATGAAAAAAAAAAAAGTGGTTGTACATACCAAGTAAGCTGTAAGAACCTTCGGTCGGAGCGATAAATCTGTCAAACTTTGGGATTGGGCACAGTATGAAAGATCTTTTAGAAGCACATATTCCTCCCGGGGGGCGAGTAACACTTAAAAGATACTGAGTACTGAGGGGGTATGAAGGAATAGGGGGGCAATTTAGGCAATTTCAGAGTATAATACTACGTGTATTGCTTCCTTTAAAAGTAAAAGGGGCTGGCTCCTGACTACGTTCAATTCATTATGGCATATGCTTCTGGAATATCTTTTGATTCATGTGGCTAAATGATCCAAAATTCTGTAAGCGCCATGTTTATTGAAAGACTAATATTGAGATGTACTGGAAAATGTTTTGATAAATTTATCTTATGAACGCCGACCATACCTCTATAGTTGATCTTCCATGGTATCTCGTAGATCAAGAGGAAAACTCCTTTGAGAGTGCATAAAGCCCCGAGCGTATAATAGAAATTGCAGTCTTCACAGAATACCATCCTCATTACCTTCTAAAGTGTATTATCATATTCATTAAAAACTCAGAAAAAACAATGAATCCTATAACGACAATATGAATTAACCAACAGCAGATAATCAAGAGACACAATCACAAATGAGGGAGATAACATTAAAAATAATTTTATCAGAAACTAAGAATGGTCAACTAGAGAGTTACAACAGAATCTGAAGCACTCAAACACTCATCATAAACTCTTCTTAGCTGTAAAATACACCTACCAATGCTGCTACCTAAACTGGGTTATCTCAAATCTGGCTACCCCAAAATCAGCCAATATATGATTCTGAACTCAGGGCTTCAAGACCGTAAGCTTCGTCACAAAGGTCAGGAAACTTCTGTTATCTTTTTCACCCTACTCCGTAAGGAACTGATGATCCGGAAGCTCATGCATCTAAAAGGCTTTAAATACACAACACAATGTATTTACAAATCGCCCAAACTAGTAACATGACATGTATTTTATCAGTGTCATCCACTCGCCAAGTCAATGTCAGTGTTGGGATTCTTTAGATCTAGTCCTTTAGAACCAGGCCATGAGCCAGGAACATTTTGGCTAGAAGAAGCATTATTAATCTGTGCTGATGATTTATCACTTAAAAGTTGTTCAGAGCTCTTATCATCTATCGAATCTGACTCCTTGCCCTTGCCCTTCGGATTCCCATAAACAAAACTGCACACTACAACCTGATAAAAAAAATGATAAGCTTACATCATGGTAAAAATATTCTACTTGCTCACAACTAACCGCACCTTGCATTGCAAAAAAAAATAAAAAAACCTCATGTTTCCCTAATGAACAAGAATTTAGACTCTTAATACCCAAAGTTAGAACTTTGTTAGAGCTTTCACTGCATAAATTACTCTCATTTCGGTAATAACAACAATGGATTTACGGTGTCTTTGTTACAAAATATTTAAGGGATAACTTAAAATGAAGGTGTACCATAGCAACAAAACTAGACGCAGATAAATGAAAAGGTGAAGATAAGCCAGGAGTATTCAACACCGGGTTGGAACTTCAAAGTGAAACTGAAAGGAAAAGGAAATAAAAAGCGAGAATTCACATACCAATTACAAAAATGACTGGTTTTAGAATGGGTGAATGGCTAAAGTCAAGTACCTCTATCAAAGTCAAATCTTATGTAGTATATACTATCACAAGTGAAGCAAGTGATGGTCCTGCTTCTGGCTTCATAATTCATCAATAAGAGAGTTGACATATTATTTAAAGGTACACTACCCAATCAGTCTCATTTCTAAATTTGGAATTGGGAGTACCAGATATGATTGAAGTGCATCAAACAGTAAATGTGTAGCTGCATTCTAATATTAATAATACCTGAACTGGCTTTGAAGCAACCAGCCTTCCTCCGACTGCACCACCAATCACATGCCCATCAGGACTTGAAAGAGAAACATTAACACCACCAGTACGATTACGTGACCCACCAGTTTCAGCAACCAAGTATGAACCAGATAAGCATAGTATCTCAAAACGGCCCTACATATGTTATCAACAAAAATGACTCAGCTCAGAGACTCTTACAACAGAGCAATCACATCAATGTATCTCAAAACGGCCCTACATATGTTATCAACAAAAATGACTCAGCTCAGAGACTCTTACAACAGAGAAATCACATCAATTAGTGTCATTTTATAGCTAGACCAGACTGATGCTAAGTAAATGAAAAACATTATCAATTGACTAAGGTTCAAATAACCAAGAGATTAATTGTCTAAGGTTCAACACATGGAATTGAAATCTCAGGATTTTATTAATTAAAGCACTGAAAGCAATCACTACACCCAGTCTATTTTCCTGCAAAAAAAAAAAAAAAGAACAGCAAAATCATTCAGCCTATCACTAGATACCATAACATGAAAAAATCATAGAGGGGACAGGGAAGTTTTGGCCAATATTTGAAAGCTTATCTGAATTAAAATTAAAATAATTTTTTTCTAATCAGCACAGCAAATAAATCAGATATGAAATTAAGCATCTAACTATCCCAATACAATTAGAAAAACAACAAATGAATAAAACTTCCACCTTGAAAGTGGTTCCGCACAGTAATCTACAACTTATGTTAATGCAGGTCTGCATCAGTATACAAACTCACTTGGTTTTCTTAAGATTGCTAAGATTCACAACACAATCACTAACTACAATGTTTCAATTCTCCAACACTCCCAACATAAATGATGCAAAACTTTCACTGTGAGCACAGAAACTGTAAAGCAAGATAAGTAAGCCAGATACAGAACCAACTGCTTTTTCAGGTTTGGGATTTTGATAATATCTTTTGTTTGTATCCTCTTTTCAGTGTGGGAGGGATGGGAGCCAAATCATGTACAGAAACCATCAGACAGATACAACTCAGATAAGGTGTAACTAGTTACGAAGCATACACAAAGGCCTTACTCTATTGATATTGAGGAAAAAAAAAGTCCTGAAAATTTAGTTCCAATAAGCTATAATAAGGGCTACAAAAACCATAGTAAGACTAAAAAAAGTTTAGCTTAGTACTAACAAGTAAAGTTCAGGTGATGGAGCCAAGTATCATTTGAAGGAAAACACATCAAAAAAGATATAAAAACCTCCATAACAATGGCTTCTGACAAGGAGAAGAATACATTAGAGTAATATGATAAAGAATTGGACAACAGAACATGAAGAGAGAGATAATAACAAAGAGAGTGAATAATGAACAAAGAACAAGCAACTAGTACAACATGTTCAGATAATCTAGTTTGTGGCTAATTGAAAGTGAGATGAACTACTTGCAAACCAAATACAGGTTCAAAATTCTAAACAATCTATTCACTACAAAATAATTTACCTCAAATGAGACAGTCCCAGTTGCCGATCCAGGCTGACGTAATGTGACAGCAGAAACACCACCACTGCCTGACATAATGCATAGAGCTCTTGGCCGCTGCTGCGAAAATGAGAGTATTTTAGAGGCAACATCCTGCAGACCACAAGCATCAGTAGATTAATATATAAGCAATGACTACTTAGTAGCAGAATTCAATATTTACAGAGCAGACCGAATTCTAGCCCAAAGAAAAGTGTTAAGTGTGTAACTTTCTAGTCACTTCAAAGCAGTTACTGAATTTATGGGAACACTGTATTGCACATACACTGGCTCATTTAAGTTCTGTAATCTCTAACTCCTCCATGGCCCATACATTCGTGCACTAGATTCTCCTAATTAACAAGCTAAGAATCATATAGCTATTCAAGGAAGAGGCATGACAAACTCTATCCAAGGAACTAAGTAACGAAACAGTTAAGAACAAATCAATAAGCATATAAACACTTCCTACACCTAGTGCTCCCTCCATCCCAAAACAAACTTCCACAACACAGAATTTGATGTCCTGATTTAAAATAGAATAAATACACTTCCCTTTTCTTACTTTCTTTTTTCTCTCTATATATACACTTCCAAATATCTTCTTTTACATTCAACAACTATAAATAAAACCCATGTTTAAGTAAAAATGAAGCTGCTATAGAGAAGAAGTATTCAATAATGTATCTTTGAAGAAATTTTATCTTTGTATTAGCATTTTAGCCTAATCTGTCTTTGGGAAAGATCCTCACACAAAACCAATGAAAAATCTCAAGGTAGTAGAATATATTTTTCCACACTTAAAGACTTCCAAGTACGGCTTAAATATAAACCAGCCAAGTTAACGGAACACAATAGCTCATTATACATCAACTTAGAACAAACATAAGCAAGGTCCATAGTAACTTTTAAGCTTGTTAGCATACCTCTCCGGGTGCAACATGAATGACATGCGGCATAAATGCAATGCCTGCTGAATTATTCATCCAGTCACCTGAAATAAGTTATCATGCAATTTGAATGTAAGTTCACAGTGCACTCTTGCAATGGAGATTACCATCACAGAATCAATAATACTCTACCCATTAAAAAAAAAAAGGTGGATGAAATTTAGTGACTAATTACACAGTTCATTTTTACAGTAGGTAAGAAATGACAGGTGGATAATTCTTATCAAGCAAGACTCCAATTAAGCTCTCAACTTCATGTTAATGGATAGAAACCATTCAAACAACTAAACTTGTAAGAGTAAGAAATCTCGCAACAATCTTCCAACGGCGCAAAACAAAACTATATATGCTTGGCTTCATTCTAAGCTATAGCAATCTGATCCTGAGCACAAATACATGATCACCAAATTCATATTGATGAAAAACCTATCACCATCAATTTCGTATCATTCTCTTGAACAACAAGCTCATAGTGTCTCATGATGGTCCAAATGATAATATAACAATGCAAGGGATAATTGACATGCATTAAACAATCAAAGGCCAGATTTAACAAAATAAACTCTTAACCCATTATGACCATTCTTCAAAAACAACAAAAGGCAAGTAGATCAAAAACAAGCAAACCAAGGTAAAACAATTAAGCTTACCAACAGAAGCCAATCTCTGCTTCCTCCCAGACCCAGGAGGTCTTCCTCTCTTCTTCCTTTCCGCAAGAGAACTCGAATTCGGGGTAGACGGGGAGAGCCCCAACGCCACGGTACCAGACCCTGATGCCGCCCCAGGACCAGAACCATCAGGCCCATATTTCCTAGGCCTCCCTCTCTTCTTCTTTGTAGGCTCACTCAATGAACCCCCAATTGAAGCCACAGTAATAGTGAACCCTTGAGGCACATTGGGTTGGGATCCTTCTACATTAAATCCAGGACCCACAGAATTATTAGCCCTAACAATTTGCTGAGATGAAAGATTAGGGTTTGAAGAGGGTCTAAACCCTGAAGATGGTGTGTTCAATCCAGGTTGCCCTGCACCTGACCCAACTGAACCAGGAATTGCTCTATGCATATAATATGGTGCTGAACCTTGCAATGCCATACCTTCTCTCCCATCCATACATTTACCTCACCCAATTATCACAAAAATCACTTCTAAATTGACCCAAGAAATTCAAATTTCTCAATTAAACCAAGATTTAAACTTACCCAGATGCTCAAACAGCAAGAAAGACTGAAACTTTTAAGGGTTTAAGATCCAGAATTAGGGTTTAAACCCTTTTAGATGAAGAAAAAACCTCAATTACTCCCAAAAGGCAATAATTAGAACTTACCCATGAGTTGAAACACTCAAAAAACCTGTAAATTTGGGTGAAATTAGGGTTTTGATGGCAAATTAAGAAGCCCCAGATCTTAAAAATTGAATTTTGAGTCTTCCCAAGTGTTTTTTTAGTTCACTGAACAGCAGCAGATTTCTTTCAAACCCCAGAAAATTTGAAATCTCGCCTACCCCCTCTTCAATAAAAACTACTCAAGAAGCAGCAAAAAAGTGAAAAAAAGATAGAAAAATCATATGGGAAAAACAAGATAAGAAAAAGAAAAAAGAAAACCCTAGATTTGAATTAGGAAAGAAAAAAAATGGCAGTAGTAGTAGTTTGAGAGGGAGGAGAGTGAAAGTGAGTTCAAAGAAAGAGGAGAGAGAGTGTGAGTGTTTGTTTCAAAGAAAATAAAAAAAGAAATATATAGAGATTTGAGCTTTTTGAATTAAAGGTGACTTTTTTTTTTCTTTTTTTTTTTTGTTTTTTGTTAAGAGGGTTAATATTATACGGGTTTGAGGCAAGTTTATAACTTTATCATTGTTGGTAAAATGGTAACAAATGGTAAATATTTGTGAAGTGGGATTAGAAAGGGTTTTATATGATAGATATGATAGATTACATATTAATTGATCAAATCTTAACTCATAAGATTTTCCTAGGTTTTGTATTTATATGTCTCACTTTTATGTTTTCATTTGATAACTTTGAATCTCAAACTTTAAAAATATAATTTAAACACTTATATCTCATAGTATGTACAAAAGGTACATAGAAAGTTACGCGTTCTGATAAAAATTGTGAAAAAGTTAGTGGATAGTTTATAACTTTGTACCACTCACTGAGAAAGTAGTTTTAGGGATGATGGAACACACGCATAACGGCCCGAGGATTGTGGTATATCCGTACTTGGATGTGAGTAGGCTATAGACTTTCAATTTTATTTTTTTTAGTATAATATGCTCCTCCTTATGTGGATTGCCCATTTTCTTTCTTTGATTATTTAAGTCTATTATTCCCTATCTTCTAATCAAACATATTGAAAATACTTTCTTCCTTTCAAAATTATTTGTGTTTAGCTTAAGAGTATGATAGGGTAATAAACTAATAATACAATTTAATTTGAATTTTAAAATAAAAGATTAGAAAAAAAAAATTGAGTATGATAGGGTAATAAACTAATAATACAATTTAATTTGAATTTTGAAATAAAAGATTAGAAACAAGTTTATGACTTTTTTTTTTTTTTTTGAAGGAAACAAGTTTATGACTATAAAAAGCAAGTACATTAATAACTACCCTAAAGAAGAAGAAGAAAATCCCCAAAAATTCAAAAAAATTCAAAAAAATAAAATAAATAAGAGTAGATGAAAAATGAGAGTTGAGGAAGGACAGAGTGAGCTACTTTAAATAAATCAAGTTACCAAAACAGTGATAGATTAAACTGACTTTATACAATTGAATGCAAAAGTACACATCTCTTCTTACTTCTCTGAGTTTGGTAAGACAGAGAAACTAATATTGGTGGAAGATTGGTAGTAGTGGTGGTCCTTGATAGAGAGTGCGAACAACAACAACAATGTCATTCAAACATTGGGTTTGCATTTTTTTTATATTTAAATTTATATTAATTTAATTAAAAATAATTTAATTTAAAAGAAAGAGTAATTAAAAAAAGAATAAAGGATGTGATGTCACCTTAAGAGTTTTATGGTTTCATGTTTTGGTTTATAATATTTTTTTAGAAGAATTAGTAGTTCTTAAATTTAACTTTTGAAAAGAAAAAAAAATCTTACTTTTCAGCTATTCTTTTGTAATTGTATACTCATAATGTTTAAGTTTTTGTTCATGTTTTCATAGGTTGGATTTTAAGTTTTTTTCCACGACTTTTATAATTTTGTAAGTATTATTGAATGTTTATTTGTTTTTAAGAATTAAATGTATACTGTATATGAGAGATGTGAGGTAACAATTGGTATAATTATGTTTACAACCGAGACTATATTTAGATGATGTGTATACCAAATTATATGATTCAAGATTTGATTAATTCATGTGTTTTTTGTTATATGGTCAATTATCTTACTATGAGAATATAATCAAAATGAATCTTAGATAGCTTTTAAAAAAAAATGAGTCTTAGATATATTAATTTTAGGTGTGATAGATTCAAGTTAGATTCTTTTTAACTAGGATCAAAATTAGTTAAAATCGAGTAATTGGTATGATTAAGGTTATGTTTAGTTCACCTGATTTGATCTAATCCGATTTGAATTTTCCTGATTTGATTTTTAATTCACACCTTGGTTATACACTAATTTTAAAGATAAAGAATTCATCAAATGTGATATCATTAGATGTGTATTAATGTGAATTTTACATAATTATTTTATTCACAAAGTTTAAGTTATGTAGTGATATGCAAATGCAAATAGAAAGATTAGACTTTTATCTAGGTTAATCAGATTTGATCATTTCTAAAATAAGAAAATATTTGTTTACATAAGCTGAACTGCTGAAGTGCACATAGCCTACATATGCATGTTTTTTTTTTTTCTTCTTTAGATGGCATGAATTGTCTTAATGGTTTAAAACCTCGTACGAGTCAATCGTGTTAGCAAGCCAATCACTTAGCTTAATAAGAATAAGGAAAAGTTATGGAGCAAAGTGGGTATGTGTGAATGGTGCAAAATTCAAACCGTGACACCTTAAAATTACGAAGGGAGTACCTTCATTGCTTCACATGATTATCTCTTAGGCCTTTTTTATCCTCCTTGTTTCCACTCATATCTGAAATATTAAGTTTATATTCCAGATATATATGTATTAATGAGTTTGGGGAAAACAAGTTCATATAAAGTTGTGATAAGGGTTATTGAAGTTGAATTAACAATTAAAATATGTTCTAATAAAGTCAAATACTATCTCCGTTTTTGTTAATTGACATATTTTGACTTTAGAACTATTCACACATTCTCCGTTGACCATGTTTTGTTCTTTATACGTAATGAAAAATATAGTCATGTGGGATCTTATTAGATTCATCACTATGTATATTTTCAACATATCAACTTTTCATAATTTTTGTTTATCGCTAATTAGAGATATTAATGGTTGAATTTGTACATTGGCAAACATGACTAAAGAAACGTGTCAACTAAAAAGAAACGGAGGAAGTAGGTTTAAATAAATTCATATAAGTGAAACTAAGGTGAATAAAGCACAATCTTAGATTAGGCAAAACAAACATGTCTCCCACCTATGTTTGTGCTTTATATATAAGGGGTCGTTTAATTTAACAATTTAGAATGAAATGGATTGGGAATCCATACCATGGTTGTATGGATTGAGAGCCCCATACCTTGTGAAACTTGTTTGGTGTGAAATTGGAATGGATTTGTATCTAGTTAGGGTTTGTTTAGGTGGAGTTACCGCACCGTCCTTACCACCACGCACCACTATCGGATTTTTAATAATAAATATACAACTCTACAATAACAATATTTAACTCTATAATAACAGTATACAAATCAATCATAACAGTACACAAATCAATAACGACAAATATTTAAAATTCACCAGAAATAATCTATTGGATAATAGTATGTAATTCTCCAAAAACAGTATACAAATCAAGAATAACAGTATACAAACAATAATAACAATAAACAAGTCAATAATAGTTGAGTACCGACAAAAAATTAACGTCGTCAACTTTAACCCCTTCATATCTAAATTGTTTCGAACTCTAACAATTCCCAGCATAGAACTCATCACTTTTTATGGTTGAAGTCGTAAGTCTGGTCTCCGCTAGAGAACTCACATATGCTGGAAGACATTAAAAATCCTTCGTTGCCCTTTGACTATACCATCTTTCATAAATTAAACTTCGAATGACTTCTTTCATTTGAATCAGCCACAAAATTCACACTTCCGGTAGATCGAGCACCATACCTCGCGAATGAAGAGTACTGCAACTCTGATGGGATTTTTGAGGGACTAGATTTCCGACAACCGGAGCTATTTCACATTTTCACGTAAGTAGGTAGTGTTTTTAGAGGGTTCCATTTTTAATATTTCCCTTGACCCTTTTTCCTTTTTCCTTTTATTTTAGCTTTTAAAATTTTACAAATAATATATATATTTTTTTTTATTGTGGTATGGGCTCCAAACCATCCATACCACTGGCTATGGCCCAAAACAGTATTCCAAAACACTTTATTTTATTATTGTTACTACAGCGGACTAGCGGAGTACTTAGATTACTCGTAAACATTAAGGTAGACGGTAGCCATGAGGTTATAACGTTGATGGCAGCCATTCCAGCCAAGTTTATTGTTACCATCACAATGAACCACAACGATCATCAATCAGGTTAAAGAGGCAAGAGCAAAAGAGAGCATGAAAAGGGAGAACATATATTTTTTTTCTCCCACTATTATTATCTTACTAGACCGCCAAGCATTACTGCACTGATGGAAAAAAAATGAATGAATTGAATACATTTGATGATCTAAAACTGCTATTGCTGTAAAAGAAAGAATGGAGATAGGCTTCCTAAATCGGTCCTTTTCTTGACCGTTCTTCTATATGGTTTCTTATTTCTCCACAATAACTCATCAAATCCATTAGACAACACTAAACTACTACTATTAATGGCATCACCTAAACATGCCTTCCGCTTCTTCGAAGATTTCCCCTTCTTAAGCCTCCATCTTGACTCTACATGCCGAGGAGAAGGTGTCTGTGGCTCACTGTCTTTGGCACTCTGAGATCTGTTGAGATGACAAACAGCCCAACAACG